TCTCTCTCTCTCTCTCTCTCTCCCTCTCTCTCTCTCTCTCTCTCTCCCTCTCTCTCTCTCTCTCTCTCTCTCTCTCTCTCTCTCTCTCTCTCTCTCTCTCTCTCTCTCTCTCTCTCTCTCTCTCTCTCTCTCTCTCTCGGTATTGCAGCAGAGCTGTATGTAGATAAGTGACCAACATGGACCCGGGAGCCAGTTGACAGCATTGACGTCAGCCCGTAGCTGCGAAATTAACTGAAGCCTGCAGGGGGGGAAATAAGCAAAGCAGAACCTTATAATTTCTCCGTGCAGTTTGGCCAAGCTGTGATTTCCCCCTTTACATTCTACCCTGTCAGCCAGGCCGTTTGTGCTTGGCTGCTTCCAGATCAGAGAAGGATCCCCGAAATAAAATTGTGAAATTGTCCACTTGCGTTATAGCCACTGTGATTAAAAAAAAACCCCATTTCCTCTAGGATAAAATCAGATGTATAGAATAGATCTTCTCTGTGAGTTTGAAAAACCAGGTCCCATTACTCTTCAGGCTGAGAATCACTTCGGACTGTTCGTTTTCTCTCTGCGTGGAGATGATTTTTTAATAGAAAGCCACGTGTAGTGTATGAAAGGCAGCCTTGGTCAGGCCTGTAGCTACGGTGGGGCTTTGGGAGGCTCCGCACCCTTCTTAAAGGCACAGTCCCACAAGGATTTCTCCTGTAAATACTTTTTTCAATCATTTAAAAACATTTTTTAAAGAGATGTGCGCTCCTTTAAGCAGACTGGGGTGTTGTAGTTGACTAATTCCCACACTGAACAAGGGGGCTGGAGTAGGTGACCTCTAGGATCCCTTCTTACTCTGTGTCAAGAAACTGGTCTCCTTTAAGAGAGTTTTTCTGCCTAAGTGTTAGCTTAGTTATCATCCCCACCTGCCGCCTTGTTATCTGAACTGTTGCTTGAGCTGGCAGAAGTTATTAACTTGCAACAGCTGAGAAATGTCAGCTAATGTGATTGACGGCTTGCAGTTTAGAGATCTATCCTGGTCACAGCTTTCTGTTGGCTACATGGCTTTTCTTTCTGCACTGAGAACTTCGGCCCCACCAGAAAAAAATTTGCCCCACAAGCCATAAAATCATGGCTACAGGCCTGGCTTTTATTCTTTAAGGACATAAGAGAAGTCAATGTTAAATCAGGCCAAAGGCCCATCCAGTCCGACACTCTGTCACACAGTGGCCAAAAATACCAGGTGCCATCAGGAGGTCCAGCAGTGGGGCCAGGACACTAGAAGCCCTCCCACTGTTGCCCCCCCCCCCCAGCACCAAGAATACAGAGCATCACTTGCCCCAGCCTGAGAGTTCCTATCTATACCTTGTGGCTAGTAGCCACTGATGGACTTCTGCTCCATATGCTTATCTAGTTCCCTCTTGAAGCCGTCCATACTAATAGCCGCCACCACCTCCTGTTGCAGTGAATTCCAAGTGTTAATCACTCTTTGGGTGAAGAAGTACTTCCTTTTATCTGTTCTAACTTGACTGCTCAGCAATTTCATTGAGTGCCCACGAGTTCTTGTATTGTGAGAAAGGGAGAAAAGTACTTCTTTCTCTACCTGCTCTATTCCATGCATAAATCTTATAAACCTCGATCATGTCACCCCTCAGCTGTCGTTTCTCCAAGCTAAAGAGCCCCAAGCGTTTTACCCTTTTTTCATAGGGAAAGTGTTCCAACCCTTTTATCATTCGAGTTGCCCTTTTCTGCACTTTTTCCAATGCTATAATATCCTTTTTGAGGTGTGGTGACCAAAACTGCACACAGTCTTGTGGTCTTTACTGCTACATATAGCATATTGTAAGTAACATCCCATTATATCATTACTGCTTAATGTGGCATGTTAATACTTATGCTGTGCTTCTGTTTCTTTCTGGTGCTTTCCAGATGTCTAACAGTGAGCCAGTTTGGTGTAGTGGTTAAGTGTGTGAACTCTAATCTGGGAGAACGAGGTTTGATTCCCCACTCCTCCACTTGCATCTGGCTGGATGACCTTGGGCAAGCCGTAGTTCTGATAAGAGCTGTTCTTGAAAAAGAGCAGTTTCTGTCAGAGCTCTCTCAGCCCCACCTACCTCACAGGGTGTCTGTTGTGGGGAGGGGGAAGGGAAAGGAGTTTGTAAGCCGCTCTGAGACACCTTTGGGTAGTGAAGGGAAGGGTATAAATCCAATCTCCTCCTCTTCCTCCTCCTCCTCCTCCTCCTCCTCCTCTTCTTCTTCTTCTTTCCTGATGCCTTAGTTATTGAGTGTCACCTTTTGTTGGTTGTTCTGACTCACTGTGTGTAGTTCTCCATGAGTCCATATGAGAAAGGTGGGCAAAATAAAGATAACATAACTTACACATCCCTGGACATGCTGGTCTTCCTGACCTGGGAGCTGTGTGGGCCTTTGTCTCTTTAAATAAAGCGTACAGGCAGACTAAGTTTTCACTCACACATCACTGGATATGGCATCTTAGCAACTAGATTTTCCCAGTCCAGGTGTGAATTATTCCTGGAGTGCATCAATAGCATGCAGTCCCGCAGTGTGTGGATGTGGCCCGAATGTGTCTAAAGTAATGATGGAAATAGCTGATCCATCTCCCATGTCAACCAACTGCCTAGCACAGGGGTCCCCAACGTGGTGCCCAGCAAGTGTCTTTATAAAGTGGGCGGGGCCAGGTGGGGATTTTGCCCAGTGACACTTATGATTGGCCATTAGAGATTTGATTGGCTGTGCAGATTTTTTAAAATGTCGCTTTGGCAGCAAATGCCGCCACAGCACAAGGATCTTCACTGTGTGACTGAAGGTCAGTTGCGGCCGCCATTTTGTGGCTGGCTCCGCCTCCTGTGGCAGCCATTTTGTGGCAGCGCTTAGTGTGCTGTATCAGAATTCCAAAATGGCGAGGGGTCATTGGCCAAGTTGCGGTGCTTTCGTAGTCGAGGAGGGCAGGGCTCTTTGCCAGACATGAAGACCACAGCTCTTCTTCTAAATGCTTGTCTCTACTTGCAGGTGAGAAGTATGAGTTACATGCGGGCACAGAGTCCACCCCAAGCGTCGTGGTGCAGATCTGCGACAGTGACTCAGAGGAAGACCCAAAGAATTCACCAAAGCCAAAAATTATTCAGACTCGGCGTCCAGGCCTGCCTCCTCCAGTGTCTAACTAATTGTCTCCTGCAAAAGCATTTGTTCTTTCCTCTGCCTCGTCCCATTATGTTTTTCCATTTGCTTTGTTTCTCTGTGAAAGGGCGAGCCCTTGCCTGGAGAGTCGTGGCTTGTTTGAGCTTAGTGGGGTGTTCTCTTCTGCTGCCATGAAGTCTAACTTAGCTAAAGGAGTTAGAAAAAAACGTTCTTTGTGACCACAACGTCACGCACAGTGGTTAGCGTTGGCAGCTCTGGGTTGAGAAATACCTGGAGATTTGGGGGGTGGGGCCTAAAGAGGGCGGGGTTTGGGGAGGGACTCCAAATCGGCCATCTTTCTCCAGGGGGAACTGATCTTTGTCCTCTAGAGATCAGTTGTAATCCCAGGAGATCTCCTGCCACTACTTGGAGGCTTGGGATAACCAAAGAGAGATCACAGGATAAGTGAACAGAAAATCGTCAATGGCAGCTGCGATATATTCACGAAGGGAATCTCACTCTTTCATAGATTTTCAAAAAAGAGATCAATATTAATACTAATACATTTCTGTACATTCATACAAGAATAAACATCAAAAAATGATTCTACAGTACAGTGGACAGCTAGCGTCCCTTCTGAGATGCTGGGGTCCACCCTGACCTGTAGCTTTGGGCGTGGCTCTTTGCAGTGACCAGCTGCCTGGGAGAAGACAACCTTCCAGAGAAAGTGGGGAAAAGTCTTCTTCACCGACTGCCTTCTTCTGTCAAATGGGCGGTCATGCCTAGCGTGTCTCCCCCCCCCACCTTCGCCGTGCACTTACAAGCTTCTGTTGTCACATGGGTCCCTTAGAGCCTTCCTCCATGGGGCTAGGTGTGTGGCCTCATTTCAATTCATCTGCCCTTTTCACTTGATGGAGACAGTGGGAATATGGAGGTTGCAGCACAAGAATTAGTCATACCTTATGCTCCCTCTAAGCTGTGGAGTCTTTTTTTTAAATAAAATTTTATTGATTTTAATAGTAGTAATAAAATAACAATACAAACAATTTAACAGAGCAATAGGGTTGAAGATAAACCTGCTAAATAAAACATTACATGTGGAATTTCAATATGCCTATTAAGGTTTCAGAATATTTTTAAAACTAAGCACGATGCTTCCTTTAAGCTGTGGAGTCTTGTGTGCAAAAATTCTACTTTATGAGCTACTGGCACTAAAGTTGTGAGCGAGCGATCTGGCTACTGCATAAATTAGTTTGCTCTGGAGCCATCCTTCCTGAGCTAAGACAAAAATGTGTGAGCCGGAGGCTAAAAACCTGTGAGCTAGCTCACACTAACTCAGCTTAGAGGGAACACTGGGTCACCTGCCTTATAGTAGATTGCAGGGAACCTGATTGGAAAAGTAGGATACCCAGTACACAGAGGAGGAAGACCCCCGCTGCATTTTCAGTGTGTACATCTGTTCTGGAGTTGGCGGAGAAGAGAAGGGCTGGAGGGTCACATTAGGAAAGCAGTCAGGAGAGCTCTTTTAGCACGGAGATTGAAGTGGCACCAGGTCTTTAGAGAGAATTCCCACTTCGCTCCCACTGCTTCCCTCCTCTTTTGGCGATTAATGCTCTTGCTCTTCTAACAGGTGCTCTTCTCTCGCCTCTGAGTTGAGTGAGGCAGAAATGTGAATTAAAACAATACCAATAAAATAAATAAATAAAAGATTCCACAGCATTGACAAGCACAGTCCAGTAATCTAAAGTTCTTGCAAACAGTAAATCTGTTTAAGTCTTTGAGAGCAAGCATACAGAGAGAAAGTTGAATACAAGAAGGTTTCACTAAGCGCTATGCAGGGAGACGGCGTGCAGAGATGAATGCGGAGCAGGAAAGGATCCACTGAGTCTACACATCTTCTGCTCCGAAGACGCCTTATGAAACAGGTGCTGGAGCAGGCCTGTCTGCAGATTCGTGACCTTTATGCGATCTGTCTGCAATCCAATATTAGTACAAGAAAGACACCAAGAAGATTTCTGGGTTGTAAGAACTTTTAGATTATTGGACTCTGCTTGTCAACACGGTGGAATCATTTTTTGATGTTTATTCTTGTATGAACGTACAGAAATGTATTAGTATTAGTACTGATCTGGGTTTTTTTTGAAAATCTATAAAAGAGTGAGATTCCCTTCGTGAATATATTTTATTTATTTATTTATTTTCATTACATTTATACCCCGCCCTTCCCACGAACGGGCTCAGGGCGGCTTACAAGAGCACAAAGTGCATAAAGTGCATATATATAATATACAATATATAAAATAGGTAAAAACAGTTAAAAAATCAATACCATCAGGATGCACGGAAGGGAGGAAAACCTTCCACAATCTGCATAGCAGAGGAGAAGACTAGGGCCACGGTTGACTGCTTCGCGGTCTTCCGGCGGTAACACATTCTGGAGAAACGGTGGTGGTAGTAGCAGTGACGGCTCCTACTCATATGCCTGGCGGAAGAGGTCCGTCTTACAGGCCCTGCGGAACTACAAAATGTCCCGCAGGGCCCTGATCTCTTCCGGGAGCTAATTCCACCAGGTAGGAACCGCCACTGAAAAAGACCTGGCCCTTGTTGCTGCAAGCCTGGCCTCTTTGGGGCCCGGGGTCACCAGCCAGTGTTGTGACCCCGACCAAAGTGCTCTTTGGGGAATATGTGGGGCAATGCGGTCCCTCAGGTATGTCGGACCCAGGCCATGTAGGGCTTTAAAGGTAAGCCCCAGCACTTTGAAGCGAATCCGGTACGCTATAGGAAGCCAGTGCAGCGCTTTCAGCATAGGTCGGGTGTGCTCCCACCTAGGGGCGCCCACCAACAACCTAGCCGCAGCATTCTGCACCAGCTGTAGCTTCTGGATTTGCGACAGAGGCAGCCCCTTGTAGAGAGCGTTACAGTAGTCTAACCTCGAGGTGACCGTCACATGGATCACTGTAGCTAGGTTGTTGCGGTCGAGGAAAGGAACTAACTGCCTCACCAGCCTCATGTTTGCCTTTGACTATTTTCTGTTCACAACTTGGAGGCTGGTAACCCTGATGGCGGCTGATGTGTTTGAGATCAGGCCAGCGTGGGGAGTGGGTTTGGTCAGGCTGAGTTCTTCACAGCTCGCTGTGTCGAGAAACTTTTGATGTGTTGATCAAGGGACAGCAGCAATGGCGTGGTCTCCTGGGATCTTCCTCCTCCTGCAGGATCTTCGACTCCCATTGAATTCAAGATCCCTGTTTAGCCACACTTCGTATGAGGTGGTGGGCCGGATCCTGCAAATCTGTTCCACTAACTCCAGTGCTTTGCTGCACTGGTGCGTACACAAAGTTGCCCTATATCAAAGCCGACTCTTGATCTGCCAGGGTCTACACAGACTGGTGGCAGCTCTCAAAGGTCTCAGACACAGTCTTTTTTTTTTACGTCTCCTGCTGCCTGATCCTTTTGAAACTGGAGGTGCCGGGGATTGAACCTGGGACCTTCCGCATTTCAAGCAGATGCTCTGCCACTGAGCCACAGAGGGGGCTGCAAGACCCGTGATACGAGAGGCTTGAAGCTTGGGTGCAAACGCTGGAGTTAGCAGGTCGTATATGCGGGATCCAACCCAACGGCTTCACCCCCTTCCTTCCTTAACTGCTTTAAAAGACATAACAAAATCCCCTCAACTTTCAGCAACGTCAGGAAGGCTGATAATTTTGGTGCCTCTTGTCTGGATAGGTGTCCGGTCCTGTCTCGTTGCCTAAATGCTCCTGTTCTGAGGCAGGAACCAAAGTTCAGTGGACGGCTGCTTGCTTTGCATATATAAAGTCCTAGGGTCAGTCCCTGGCATCTCTAATGAAACAGACATCAGGTTAGCAAGCCTGGAAAGGGTTTATTCTCTGAGAACCTTAGAGAGCCACTGCCAGTCAAAAGGGGCAATATCGAGCTAGGTACACCAGTAATATAAAAGCAACTCTGTATAATCACATGAAACACATGAAGCTGTCTGATACTGAATCTGGCCTCGGTATCGCCTACTCTGGCTGGCAGCAGTATTAAGTGGAGGTCTTTCCATTCACCCGCTGCCTGGTCCTTTTAGCTGGAGATGCCAGGGGATTGAACCAGGGACCTTCTACATGCCAAGCAGATGCTCTATCACTGAGCCGTGGCCCCTTGCCAGGGGGGTTGAGGGTTGGGGGGGCTGGTTTTGAAATGGAGGAGTATCTTTCATTCCTTTCTTCTAAGTAGTTGGGAACCAAGTCACTTCAGCGCCTTCTTGCAGGAGAGTTCTCCCTTAGCTGACTAAAGAATGGCTTTAGCATGCTGTGTTCACGCTACAAAAGATGGCAGAAGGCGAACGACAGATTGCCCGTTGTGTGTTTCCTAGGATTAACCCCATACCTGAGCTGAGTTCCTTTGAACAACTTATTGGAAGGCGTGTACTAAACAGCTTGCTGGAAGGCGTGTACCTAATATTACCCTTTTAATACGGCCCTTCTGAAAAAAATTAAGACCAAGATTGAAAACCAAACACAAACTCATGGAAATATTTCATCTTGCTACCACTGATGTTACGGAATATTACTGTGACTACTTTCTCTTTTTAACGATACAGTTAGAGATGCTGTCGGACAGCTTGATCCAAGTCTAGGAGCACCTTAGAGTCCAGCGGGATTTACACGGTGCAAGCACCCGTTTGGTGTCGTGGTTGGGTGTGCTGGGTTTGATTCCCCACGCCTCCACATGCAGCTGCTGGTGTGACCTTGGGCCAGTCACAAGTTCTCTCAGAGCTGTGCTCTCACGAGCAATCCTCGAAAGAGCTCTCTCAGCCCCGCCTACCTCACAAGGTGTCTGGTGTGGGGAGGGGAAGGGAAAGGAGATTGTAAGCCGCTCTGAGACTCTGAATGGACTCATTCAGTCCACAGGTCAGAGTTCCAGAAGTCAAGCGAAGCTGAGTTGATGGTTTAGCATCCATCATACATGCTGCGTCCACGCCTAACAGCTTCTTTTGGCTGGTTCTATAGCCACACGCCTAAGGGTCATGCTTGCAGCTAGCTGCTAAGGCGTAATCCTGCAATTACTCATCTTCATTATCAGCTGGTGTTGGGCCAGGTGCTGTGCTCCAACCCCCTAATCATCTTGGTTGCCCTCCTCTGTACTTTTCCCAGCTCTGCAATGTCCTTTTTGAGATACGGTG